TGGCTGGGCTGGTATTTTGTTTGATCTTCCTGGAAATGAGCAATGATTAAAGCTCACGTAATTGTTTTTTGTTTTTTGTTTTTTTGTTTTTGTATCTGGGCTGATGAATACATTTCTCTACAGAACTGGTTTCATTTTGCTTAAGGGGAAAATGCACTTTTGTTTGGCAGTTCAGAATCCAAGCACTTGATATGCTGGATTTTGGAAAACTCCTTTTTTGGCCCTGCTGTGCTTATCCATAACAATTCCATTAAGTAAGAAGGTAAACAGAAGAGAAAGAAAACTTGTGCTGGCTCGTCTCACTTATGAAACATCATGGATGTTGTCTGACTGGGTGGGGCTGGGTGCGTATATGTCAATGCCTGTAATTTTCATAATGAGCAAGTACATTCTGTTCAGGTGATAACTGAGCCTCAATCAAGCAGAACTTTTGCTTGAAATTAAAAAAAAATTTCTATTAGTGAAATTTCTTTATTTCTTTTTTTTTTTTGAAGCACCCTGTTATCTAAAGAATCTTTGTAAGATTTTTGTAAAATTTTGTTTTACAAGATTTTATTTGAAATTGTTTTTTGCGAGATTGTTATATTTCTGTATGAATGTATTTTTTATTCGAATAACATAAAAAGAATTCTTATCAGCATTTGGAGTCTGGTTGTTTTTCTGGGGTGCTGTGGGGGAAGGGGGTTGTTAACAAATTCCTGCTGTGTTACTCAGCCTGGCTTCCTCCCCAGGAAATCACCATTGTGCAATTCGAAGGGCCATTTGCCTAGCTCAGTCCCTGCCTTCCTTGTCTTCCCACTTTACCACAGCTGTCCCTGAAGCTAGAGGGAGGCTTTTGACACTGCTTCCCCCACCCCTCAAATGTACTGAATGTGTTCCAAATCCTGACAAAAACAGCCCCAGGCTTTTGGGGGCACAATAGGAAGAAACTTGTTGCATTTTTTTTTCCTTCCTGTCACTCAAGCCAGGCAGGCTATTAAGTACAGAGGCCTCTACCGTGACTAACTGCTGGCTCCCTTTCATTTCAGAAACCCAGCAAAATTTGTTCGCTTATCGGTTAGAGCTAGGCTAGTCTTTCTGGATGGAGCTGGGCTCACACCTGGATGACTCCTATCCAGGGAGGGTAGCAGTGATCAGCAGATTACAAAGGGAAGTCAGGCCAGAAAACCATCCCCATGGACTCACTGAAATCACTTTTTCCTCCTCCCAGAGTTCCCTGGTTAGTTCCCTAAGTAGGGCAGAAAGTCAAGATAGCCTTCTGCTCCTGTGATTTTATGACTTATGAAAAAGGCCTGCAAAATGCATTATGTATAGAGCGATTTTAAGATAAAATAGGCCGCTTATATTGTCTCAGACAAATGCCTTTGGTAGCTTGAGATGTTGGCCCCAGCTTTACTATGCAGTGTGAGAGATGCATCTTGGAATCCATTTTCAGATTCTATAAGCCAGTCAGTAGTGACAGTAAAATCAGTTTATTTCTGTGGGGTCAGAATCATTGCATTGTCTTTAGTTCAGAAGAAAGAGTGACCTCCATTTTAGTTGTGGTATAATCTTTTACTTCACAATAGGTCTTCACTTTGCTAAATGTGGAGTGGGAATTGCCTTTAATTTAATTAATGGTGGAAGAGGAGAAATTTAAATGTGTACCCAGATTAGGAGCTTTGGGATCTCGCACCCCCCCCCCCCCCCCCCCCTAATTGTAAAAATATCAGCAAGTTGGAAGGAATTTGTGATGGGGTGGGGCATAAAGAGCTGGGGACATTTTTGCCAGAATTCATGGGTGTGTGGCGTTTTGAAGCACATGTCAGGGTGACTAACAGTTGGAGTACTTTGACTGTACAGTCTAAATAAAGTCTCCATAATGCATTCTCTCTCGGCTACTATTAAGGCTGGACCATGTTGTCATGCACAGTTTGCTCAACAGCTAAGTTATGTTCAAATAAGGCTGTTAGGAGAACCACTGCAAGGAACCAGCCACAGACTCAGGGTATTTATAGAAGTATAAAGCATTTTCAGTCTGCTTAACAAAGTTTTTGAAATCTAGCTAAAAGGAAGGGAGCACTGTTGCCTTAACGAGCTGTGTACTTTGGGGACAATTTGCTCAGTAACAACGGACCTCCATTTGCTCCTTGCTAAAATAGTTTAGGCTTGGTCACATGAATCTAGCATTTTCTATAGCACTACCATTCTGTGGTCTATGAGTGTAGGGTGGACTTCAAATTACATGTTCACTGTCCTCAGAGTTCTTGGCTCAGACCTAGGAAAGTTTCTCTTATGCTACAGGAGAAAGTATTGTTAAAGAAAATTGCTTTGAAAATAGAAAACAGAATGTTCTTAAACTGCCCATTACTCGTTTAATTAAAGTTAAGTTGTTTAGGAATTTGATGCTTGACAACATATAATTTTATTTAATTAAAAAAAATAGCTTCTTTGAATAGTGTTATTGTACCCATAAAGGAACCCCAAATCTCCCCAGTCCCCTCAGTCCCTCAATTCTATTCCTAATCTAATAGGGCCTTTGTACTGAAGGCAATGGAAGTGACTAAAGTCTCATATTTATATTTAAATTGCCATAAAGAACACAGCTTCCATATGCAACTCCTTTTTTATGTATGTGTTGTATCACCAAGAGCTATTTCTTAATATTTGATTATTATTATTTATGTGTTTATGTTAACAAATGCTTATGTGTTTGCATGCAGATTTACACATCTGTGTGTGTATGTGTAGTTTAGAGAAGGTATCAAGTGTCCTCCTCCATTATAACCCCCCTATTCCTTTGAATCAGGGTCTCTCCTGATCCTGAGGTTAGTGTCTTCTTGGCTAAGTTGGAGGGCAGTGTATCCTAAGGATCCTCCTATCTCCATCCCCTTCAGAGTTGGTTTTGGAGCTATTTGCATGGGTGCTGAGATCTGAACTCGTGTCTTCATGACTGTAGAACTAGTGCTCCTAATGCCAGAGCCCTCTACCCAGCCCCTGAGCTCTTTTATGTTTTAAGAACTCCCTTTGCCAGCTGGATTGTTACCATTTCAAAATTTGATGATAGAAATGATGGCATTTCCCACTTTCTTAAGCCTTAGTCAGGAATCGGGAAGAAATATATTTACATGTTCGTTGCTTATTCATGTATTTACATGTATATATGCAGTAACCCAAACAGTTAATGTTATGCCCATTTCACAATTAAGGAAAACTGAGGCTTCAAAATAGTATGCCACTTGACT